CGTATCTGTACAGCAAACTATGATGATATCAAACAACATGGGTGGGCAAGTGGGCAACGTGCCCGGCGTGGGCGTGGGCGGCAAGGGTCCGCGGCCTGTGACACAGCTGGACGGGCTGGAGGCGGCGCGCCAGCAGAACCTGGAGAAGATCCAGCACCTGCAGCAGACGCTGGAGGCGGCGCACCAGCAGGAGGCGCAGTTCAAGTCCCAGATGGACATCATGTCGCATCTGCACGCTGCACAGCAACAGGAACAGCATTACAAGCAGCTTGAGGTTTACTTTTTAATTTTCAATGATTTTTTTAAATTTTTTGATACCATTTCGTCATTTTTGAATTGATTTTTATGGTTTAACTAGCTGTCGCCCGCGTCTCCGTCTGCCCTAGATTAGAAACATACTAAATTAGTAGCCTAATATCAGCGAGATCCATGCAGTCGTCGCTAACGGTCATCGTCGTATTCGTCAGCGTAGAATTAAAAAAGTAGTCTATATCATGCCCGCGTCTATCAGCCATCTTCTCGTCAAAGTCCTGTCCAAATGTTACGAAATAAACACGGGCTTGGGGACAGACAGACAGACTGACAGATATTCAAAAAATGTTTTTTTTTGTTATGTTAGCGAATTTTGATTTTTTTTTTCAATTTAACATAGTCATTTCGATTTTATTATAAATATAGATTACAATGATATTTCCAGGAGCAACGTAAGCAGCAGCTCCAGCAGCAGCAGCAGCAGCAGCTGCAGCAACAGCTGCGCGGTGGCGCGGGGCATACTCCTCGTGTCATGCAGAGTGTCAACCAGGGCCTGCGCAACTTGCTGCAGCAGGTAACTTCTCATTTTGAGACATTTGCAATTACCCTGTCTATGGCCAATCCCTTCGCTGTATCAGCGAATCCAGGTGGCTTGCTCGTTTGCCACATAATTAATTAAAAAAGGATAGTCGAATTCAAATGGAAATGACAAATTATATTAACATACTAGTGGTCGCCCTCAGGTTTCGTCAGCGTAAAAATATCCTATAACATGCTCAAATGTATCAGCCATCTTCTAATCAAAGTCCTCTCAAAATCGATCCACTCGTTCCGGAGATTATACGGAACATACACAGCCTTGTGGAGAGATATACAGACATAAATTTATTTTTCGTTTTTAGCAATCATCATTTGTACTGTTAGGAAGAAAATCCGACAGTGCCGGTGTACTGGCGCAACACTAGCTTTACTAAAATATCAACGTTTATGTCCCCTCACTAATCCTGACACTTGACTTTGTAACGAAAGCACTTCATTCATGGCAAAGGATTGTAATTAATCTTATATATAAAATTCTCGTGTCACAATTTTCGTTCCCATACTCCTCCGAAATAGTTTGACAGATTCTCATGAAATTTTGTGAGCATATTGAGTAGGTCTGAGAATCGGCCGACATTTATTTTTAATCCCGCGTGGAGTCGCGGGCGACAGCTAGTATATCTAAAAGTACGATATATGAATTTTTCTTTTGATGCTACAAACAAACATTCCAATTTTATTCATCACTAGCTGCTGATAATATCATTATTGTCTATGGCTTTGTTTATATTTAACTTATAATTTATCATTTCCATTGAATTCGAATATAAAACTTATCTTTTCTTTCATTTATGTGACTATTATATTTCGTATTCTTTTTTTTAACACCTAATTTCTACAAATAAAAATATGTCACGTCATGCTATTTTAAAATTACATTAATTACATATTTTAGCTTCTTTTCACTATATTATATATTAATATTATTAGTTTTTTTATACTAAATTTATAGAATCCATTCACTTTGTAAAAACACTAAGCATGTTTCAACTTAATAATTACTATTTCACTAATTCCTTTAAATATATTCATAAAATGTTTTAATTTATTAATACCATATCTAAATATAATTTGCATTGTTGAACGTTGACAAATCATGTTCAGTGTTGCTCGATATTTTTCAGTGTAACTCACTATTGTTCAGCAACACTCGATATTGTTCAGTGCACCTCAATATTGTTCTCCAATGCTACTGAACATGACAATAAAATAAATTGTTGTTCAGCAACACTCAATATTGTTCAGTGCACCTCAATATTGTTCTCCAATGCTACTGAACATGACAATAAAATAAATTGTTGTTCAGCAACATTCAATATTGTTCAGTGCACCTCAATATTGTTCATTGGTACTACTGAACAAGAAAATAAAATAAATTGTACAATATAGCTTAGTGTTCAGCATCACTCAGTATTGTTCAGCATCACTCAGTATAGTTCAGCGTGTCTCAGGTGTGTGGCTGTGTGTTTCTAGCAGCAGCAGGGGCCGCGCGGCAGCCGGCCGCACATGTGACGACGCCTTCATAACCTCGCACGCATAAGTAATGCTTTCACCAACTTTCTGCTTTTCATTAGATACTTATGAATCAATTAAATATAATTTCCACTGGTCACAAGTGCTCAGTGGAAATAGACATTTAATTTTAATGGAATTTATTTAATTACTGTTGTAAAGTAACTTGAGATAATAGGGTTGGATAGAAATGCAAATTTATTTATTTTCTTCTCTAAAGATTTTTTCTGTTTAATATAAAATAATTTATTTAATAATATTCATAAGTATCTATGTGTTTTCTGCATTAATTTTATTGAATATTATTACAATACTAGTTGTCGTCCGCGACTACGTCCGCGCGGAGTTTAATAAAAATAATTAGTGTGTTATGTGTTGTTCCAGAGTATGTTCTATTTATGTCAAATTTCATCAAGATCCGTTTAGATGTTTTGGAGATACCTTCAAACATACATCTAGACATTCGCATTTATAATATTAGCAAGATGTAATTTTAATTTATATATATTGTAAGAGAGCATCGGTGGCTCAGGGGTCAAGCACTTGACTTGCAATCTGCAGGTCCTGGGTTCGAATCCCACAATGTACCAATGTGTTTTTCGATTTACGATTTACATATGTACATTTATCTGACGTTCTGACGGTGAAGGAATACATCGTGATGCTGCACATATTTGAGAAAGTCAAAGATATGTTTGAAGTCAACCCGCACTTGGCCAGCGTGGTTGACTATGGCCTGATCACCCTTAACTTAGGGTAGGCTCCGAGCACCTCGGTGGGGACGTATAGTGAGCTGATGATGATGATGATGATGAAACATTGTAATAATGTTCAATATGAAATCATTTCATATATTCATTTATCTTTAAAAACTTTTCACGTAGTATTGTAAATATTTGTTCATTTATTGCATGTCTCTTTTATATCGCTTTTTTAAATCTACTTTCTTAAGCATATCTTCTAAGTTTGAGTTTAAAAACTTTTCGCTTAACTAACATACAGGGAATTAAAATTAATTTCAACCAGAAGTATTACTTATAACAAATTGTCGAGTATTTAAATACTCAATGTGCAATGAATCCTCCTGTATATATAATTTTATTACCCAAATTTGCGAAAATTATGATACGTGACACAGAAATGACAGCCAAGATGACGCAGATGACAGATATAGATCACTAAAACAGACAAAATTTACAACAAACACAAGTAGAAAAGATAGCACCTGAAAAAATGACAGCTATAATTAAATAAATGACAGTTACTGACACAAATGACAACCAAGATGACGGAGATGACAGACGCTAACACTGACAGTCACAGACGAACACAGAAATGACAAACATAGCAAATGAAGTAAGACGTACGACAATTTTGTTGTAATATGTGTTAAAAGCATCGGTGGCTCAGGGGTTGCAATCTGGTCCTAGGTTCGAATCCAACCGTATACCACATTTATCCGATGTTACAGTGAAGGAAAACATCGTGATGCTTTTCACATATCTGTGAAGAAATTCAAAGATATAAGTGAAGTCAACACGCTCTGGATCAGTAAAGCCTAGTAGTGTCTTAGGGTAGGCTCCGAGCTCAGTGGGGATGTATCGTGAGCTGATGTCATGTGTTAATACAGTGGAAACTGCAGAGTTGTGTGTGAATTATGGTATATTGTGTGCAGCCTCAGTACCGTCCTGCGGGGGGCGCGGTGAGGCCCACCACACAGCCGCAGCAGTTCGACGAGGTCAACAACTATAACGACTTCCTCTGAGACTTGACTGAAGATAGCTCTACATCGTATAAAGTTAATTTTATATTAATAAGTAGGAATATTAAAAAATAAATTCTATGATAATTTTTAAATTTTGCAAATATATTTTTTTTTAAATCCTAATCGCTAATAAACCGCGATCCTTAGATAAGGATATGTCGTGGTATTTTTTGACCATTTGATTTGCGCTATGTTAACAGTGGTAGAGCCCGCTTTAACATCTTGGCACGAATTGAGTCCCACCTCGTCCGGTGAAATACCATGACCACACAGAAGACAGGCCTCAAGTGGAAGCTATTCCAAGTACAGTCTAATGAGTGTGCGTCCCGGAGACCTATTTTAGTCCTCTTTCCCTTCTCACCCATTTTCTTATAAGAAAAGGATGAGAAGTGGAAGTCGACTTTCCGGATGAGAGGATGCATGGAAAGGGAAAATATTTTCTTTCTGTGCATCCTCTCCTCCGTCGATTAAAGGTAGGCAACGCATATGCGATTGCGTATGTCTATGGGCAACGGTCACTTCGCTATTTCAGCGATTTCAGGTGGCCGCTCGGTCGTTTGCCACCTTATGATATAAAAAAAAATTTTGAAATGAATGGTTGTGGTGTTACTAATTCCTTTATCTTTAAAACTAAACAAAAACTTACATTTCCTAGACAGTCTTTATACGTTTCGAAGCAATTCAATAACGAATTTAAAACTTGTATGTAACTGAGGCGCGACAATCACGTGACATATCGTAAGTTATTGTCACGTGATTGTCGCGTTTATGAAGTTCGTTATGGAATCGCTTTTTAGCGAATGCGAATGTTTAACCCATCTGAAGAGTAGATTGAATATTCGAATGAAAAAGTTTAGTAAAATATTAAATTAATAAATAAAATGAAACTTATGTCATTAAGATTGAAAATAAAAAAAAAAACAATTTTGTAGTAAAAATAGCATTTATTTTGTATTATAAATATTCAATAGGTAAACACTAATATTTTACATGTCGCTTTATATTTTTGTAGTAACACTTTGAATGCCACACTACGGTGCGAGTCCACTTTCACATAACGGCATTGAATGTGTTAAAACAAACAGTCGTGAAGAAAAATGATTATATAATATACAAATGAGTACTCTATATTATCATTACAAAAATATTTTACCTTATTTAAAATATTATATATTTAAATCTACTTAAATAGTTTTCTATTATAAAAATAGTTAAAATGAAATTTGATTTTTTTATAAATAAATGCAAAATCGTTATTTTTCTATATAAATAGATAAAATTTAATGTAGCATTGAAATGCATTTTGACACATATCGTCATCTCTTACACTCCTTGGACACAAAAAGAGACAGCAATATAATTCGCGTGAACAAGGCCATATGAAGCAAATATCCAATTTTAATCAATCTTTTTGCTAATAAGCTATTTAATTTACAAATTAAAAAAAAATCGAAGTTAGAGGGTCTATCATGAATTGCGATGCGGTTTCGTAATATCGACAAAACGACGAAAGACATTGTACGAATACAAATTAAGTTAACTTTACGAGCATTTAGACAATTTTTTTGGGCCAAACTCTGAGCCGGGAAGAGCTGCTTGTTGCATCGTACTGTCAGAAAATATGTAAAATCTCCATATGCATAAAAATATAAAATAAATTGAGATAGCTACAGTACAAGGATCTTGTTGCAGTTTTTTGACACTGACAGGAGCTGTCAAACTAGTTTGACATACTCAACGGGTCAAATAACTTTATTCGTCGTTAAAGCAAAACAATTGATAAATTTCTTAAAACTAAAATATGGAAAAAAAGCCTTCTTAGATTACTTAAACTTAATTTGTAACTCAAAATTGTATTAAGGAAATAATTACATAAATAGCATTAATATGAATATAATTAAATTTAAATGCAATAAAAAAAAAGCGGGAATAAAATTATTTTAGGCCTTGAATTGAGATTGGTAATTTTTTTTCTAATAATCTTAATAATAAAATAAATTTTAACAAATTATTGTTTACATAAAAAAAGCAGATTATATCTTCGTTTTTATAATCTGAAGTTAGTAAAGTGACATATTGCTAAAATTGTCGTAAGCGAGGAAAATATTCCATCTCTTTTACTCGTGGTACTTTGTGCATAAGTCCCTTTCACTTCACACAGAACAATTTTTACGGCCGATAAAAATGGCCGTAGATGAAAATTAATAAATAATTTTTTTTTCATACATTCACTATGATTAAAAAAATACAAAATTCGAAAAGGTCTAATATTTAAGTATCATTTCCATTTCATTCACTATTCGTCTATTTATAAATTTATTTTTTTAAAACTAAACATAATTATCACAATATTAATATATTTGAGTTGAGTTCACTTTTTATTTTTGGAAATACAGTATAATTCCACTAATCCGGCACCCTTCGCTTACATCTACCCCTCTATACCTGCGTCACGGAGGTCTAATTTTAGTCATCTTTTCCTTTCCATCTTTTTTCTTATAAGGAAAGCACGGAAAGTGGAAGTGGACTTTCTGGATGTGGGGATGATAAAAGGGAATAATAAAATTTACATTACTTAAGAATTTTTCACTACAATCCTGTAATCCGAACATTCCATTAATCCGGTAACCACCGGTAACAGCCGGATTAGTGAGATTAAACTAAAATACATATAGAACACTATATTATTTATATATTTAAGAACACTCGGTCTCAATATCTAGTAAACTTTAAACGCTTTCTCTCTTTATTTGTATACAGGATGTTCAAATATTTATATAACGGAAGACCACAGATTAGGCTATGCGAGAACGCAAATATTTTATCTAATTCAGAGCCTGCACGTGAATAAAACCGGAAATTAGGAGGAGGAGGCTTATTTGGTTAGTTTAAATTATGCGTAAGCTTCGAAGCCCAAAGACAAGTTGAATTTAATCGACTTATTTATGGTCTGTGTTTAGAACATCCTGTATTACGTCTACTATACGTCTAAAAAACTTCTCAGAAGCTTATAAAATGCCACAATATTGTACACAAACATATATAACTTAGTAATTAATTAATATTATCCAAACTAAGAAGTTTTACATTTGTCACTGTCACACTTATCACTGACACTATCTGCCGTCTCCTTCTGACAGCTGCCGTTGGCTATGGATTTCTTTTTGTCTTTATTCTTTGGCATTTCATATATCCTCTCGGCTAGAGCAAAGAGAATGTTCCCAGGAACCCTCTGGTGTTCCTCTACTAATTTTTCTATTGCACTCGCGACCTTGAGAATAAATAACATTTAAATTATATTTTTTAAATTGAATATTCGAACTATAGAGGTAATATTCTACTTCAAGGCTTATTTTTAGTAAAAAATCATGAGAGAAAGAGAAGGAGATATGCTTTATCTTTCTTCTCTTTCGTGTAACGAAACGCGCTTTAACATGACCTTGAAAACTTACAAAGGTTTATTATTAGGTCTGATGTTCCATATTTATTAATTTACAACATAAGTATTTTTTTTTACTAATATAAATGTGTATGTTTGGATGGATGTTTGTTTGAAGGTATCTCCAGAACAGCTGAACGGATCACGATGAAATTTGGACATAGTCTGGAAGAACACATAGGCTAACAGAGTTACAGGTCACAGCTATTGCCTAGTCATAGTATATCGTAGTTTTACCTTTTTCTGGAGCTGTTCAGGCGTGATGTTGTCATCATGAGGTATGGGAGGGCCGAGGTGAGTGACCAACTTGACAGGAAAGCCGCCGTACACCGGGGCGAGAGGGACGCGGGTCTTGGCGTAGATGCGCAGACAGAGACCGCGCAGCCAACCCACTGTGCGGAATGCCTCGCGCACGTTGCGTGTGAACATCGGCACTATTGGCTACATACATACATACATATAGACAATTACTAATATAGAAACAATCATTATAAAGCGGAAGAGTTTGTTTGTTTAAACGTGCTAATCTCAGGAACTACTAGTCCGATTTGGAAAGTTCTTTTTTTATTGGATAGTCCATTCATAGAGGAAGGCTTTAGGCTATATAACATTACGCTGCGAACAATAGTTTTTTAATTCCCCTCATTCGGACACTGGACTTTGTAACAAAACTGAGCACAACAACACAAACACACATAAAAAACAAACACACACGAGAAAAAAATAACCCTAATCAGTCAGGTAATACTTACAACTTTAGCTTCTAGGGCGACTTTAGCGAATCCTATCCTAGATTTCCAGTTAAGCCTGTAGTAGTGGTCTCCGAACTGAGCCTCGTACACTCCGCCTGGTGAGATAGCCAGGGAATTACCAGCTTTTAGCACGCTGGTGCAAGTCTGTACAGTGCCGGGGATCACGCACAGACCTTCCAGTAGAGTTGACCAGCCTGGAACAAATACTCCACTTTATAAGGGGTTTAAACACCCTAAATTGATACTAAACCCCACTTAATCCATGCTGAGTCTTATCAGGAATGAAAAATGGTTGGATGGATGGATGTTTGTCAGAAGGTATATCCAGAACGGCTGTATGGATCTTGCTGAAATTTGACATAGATGTAGAACATAGTCTGGAAGAACACATAGGTTACCAATTATTTTTTGTAATTCCTCGCGGATGGAGTCGCGGGCGACAGCTAGTAGTTTATTATTATTTTAATTACATTGTATTAGAGTAAGGACATAAATCAACCTAAACGTAGATAATTTTTTTTAATTCCTAATGCGAGTTCAAATTAAAAAAAAAAGATGAAAAATTGTATTAAAAATACATTAAAAAAGCAATAAATCAAGATTATTTAAATCAATCATAATCTGTTTGCGAGAAAAAATAAAAGGATATTTTAAAAAACGAACAGAAAAGACAACTAAAATTTTTTTTCACTTTCTTAACTATGTGGCATAATTAAAAAGTATTAAAACTCTTTAGACATCTATAGTATGGATATGCTTTTATACGTAGTCAGTTTATAATCTGACGTGGATATAACTAACCTGGTATCTTAAACATGAATCTATCGGCTACAGTATGCATGTGTCGTCGCTTGAACAGCAGCAGTCTTGCTGTAAAGTAGTACATGTCTATTGGCAGCGCACCATGGTAATAGATGAGGAGGAACGGACCTTCTGGAATATTCTCCAGACCTCGGATCTCGTAGCCTGGAACACATAGAATAATATCTTACTAATATTATAAATGCGAATGTATAGAAGGTATCTTCAGAACAGCTGCAAGGATCTTGATGAAATTTGGTATAAATATAGAACAATCTGGAAGAACACATAGACAACTAAGTTTTTTTTTAATTTTGCGCGGACTGAGTCGCGAGCAATAGCTAGTATAAAATGGCAATTTTAAAACATTCCCTTCAAGTCACAAACGTAACCAAACAAGTTTGACAAATTTGAAAGTAAGAAATCATCCCGCAATAATGTACGCAACCATAATTTACTAAAAATTTTATTAAGGCGCTTAAGGGTCACTGACCTCTTAAATAGGCTATAGCTGAGGTATATTGGGTCTATTTCATTTTTGACGCTAATGGTTGAGATCTGTAGCCGTCAGGAATTATTAACAGGAATAAGAAAGAACAAAGCAAAATAAATCATTCATAACCTATCCATCTTTAGAGATCAGTTTTAAAAATCAATATTTTACATATGTAAACTTTCAATCTATTTAAAATATATTGCAGTTCCAATATGCTCTGATGAATAGAGTTACATCTATAAGAAGCCTAAGATGAAACTCTTTTCGTGGGTTATGTTGTTACCATGCCACAGCCAGCCGTGCGCGTCCCAAAGCGCGCAGACCGCGAGCCGCGCCGCTTGACGCCAGTCACTTTCCACGCCATCTATCACCCGCAATCTGACAACAAATATTATTAATTTAAACAAACGAGAATTCAGATATTTATTGTATACTAGCTGTCGCCCGCGACTCCGTCCGTACGGGATTAAAAATAGATGTTGGCCGATTCTCAGACCTACTCAACATGCTCACAAAATTTCATGAGAATCGGTTAAGCCGTTTCGGAGGAGTATGGGAACGAAAATTGTGACACGAGAATTCTAAGGATGGGAAGTCCCATCCTTTCCTTAAAAGAAAAAGGGTGGGAAGGGAAACAGGACTCAATTAGGCCTCCGGGACGCACACTCATAAAACGAAACGCGGAATTGCTTCCACTTGATGGCTGTCTTCTGTGTGGTCGGGGTATTTCAACGTGCGAGCCGGGCCAATTGGTGCGAAGATGTTAAACCGGGCTCTATTATAATGTCTCTCGAAAGTTTAAATAATTTAATTATCGTCAGTAATTTTATTAAAAGATGATGTAAGAACGGCTTAAATTACACATAGCCTTACCAACTGAACTTTAATCTTATTAAAAAAGTTTAATATTAAAGCATTTATGATAATATGATCACGCAGTGTGCTAGCTACCTTCAGACCCGAGGACTCTGATAAGACGTAGACATAACAATATACCAGACATTCCTATTTCACTTGTCTGGTTCTATAAATAGATTTAAATTGATTCAGTAAGCAAACATATATTGTTCCAAGCCTTAAATCTATCTATCTTATTTATATACTAGCTGTCGCCCGCGACTCCGTTCGCGCGGTATTAAAAATAGATGTTGGCCGATTCTCAGACCTACTCAATATGCTCACAAAATTTCATGAGAATCTGTCAAACTGTTTCGGAGGAGTATGGGAACGAAAATTGTGACACGAGAATTTTATATATAAGATAAAAGAAAGTCGTGTTAGTTACACTATTTATAACTCAAGAACGGCTTTACCGATATGCCTGAAAATTGGTGAGGAGGTAACTTAGAGCATGGAGACGGACATAGGATACTATTTATTCACATTTTTTAAAATATTTTTTTCGAATTTATGCCTTGAAAATGCTCCTTCTTATTTAACTTAATAATATTATAAATGCGAATGTTTAGATGGATGTGATGTGGATGGGTGGGCTACACTAATTAAGCTTTTTATATATGCACGCGGACGGAGTCGCGGGCGACAGCTAGTTATAAGTAATTAAAAAAAATCTTTATTAAAAAAAATCATGAATTTACTAATTTTTTAGGGTCGTCACGGACGTCAGCGCGAGACAAACGTATAGGAAATAGATTTGTTGTCTCGCTCTGATGCGTGTGCCGAGCATTGTTCATACGATTATTATATCTAAATCAACCTATAACTTCATTTGTATACATATTTTACAATTCAATTCCACTGCCGTATTCTACTGTACAACGTACCTGTAGAGCCCGTACATGTACAAAGTACCTGTAGAGCCTGTACAACTTGTACAACGTACCTGTAGAGCCTGTACAACTTGTACAACGTACCTGTAGAGCCTGTACAACTTGTACAACGTACCTGTAGAGCCTATACAACATGTACAAAGTACCTGTAGAGCCTGTACAACATGTACAAAGTACCTGTAGAGCCTGTACAACTTGTACAACGTACCTGTAGAGCCTGTACAAATGGAAGATGATGCTGCTGATATAGATAAGTACAATGATGAAAGCTGGCAACAGGAACGTGACGATCACGGGCGTCAGGAACCAAGTCAGCCACAGACTGTACTCCGTGTCCACGTACTCCACTGTCAACAAACAAATTTTATTATTATAAGAGTTTATATTGGTGATGGTCGAAACTGAATAAGCGAGTCAAGTAAGCGTTATATTTTTCTCGCTTATAGAGGTTTCTCTAACCTAGTATTCTCGCTTATAGAGTTTTCTCTAATCTAATCTCTAATCTCTAACCTAACCTAACCTAACCGGACATTGTCGCTTATAGAGGTATCTCCCTAACCGGACATTGTCGCTTATAGAGGTTTCTCCCTAACCGGACATTGTCGCTTATAGAGGTTTCTCCCTAACCGGACATTGTCGCTTATAGAGGTTTCTCCCTAACCGGACATTGTCGCTTATAGAGGTTTCTCCCTAACCGGACATTCTCGCTTATGGCGGTCGTCCGTCGGGACCTGACAATGACTCTCGATGATAGAGGTTTATTGCTTATCCAGGTTCGACTGTACTTATGAATAGATTACTTCTTATATAATTGTTTTACGAACTATTTTCGCATTTGTTTGTTGTAATTTTTTTATTAGGCCTATTCTTTTGAAATATCAATATAACACATTTAATCTATATAAGACAGTGTTGCCCTTAGAAATATCTATTCAAATGTACTCTGGCAACACTGTCTGGCATCCGGGACGTTATCAGCGTCGTCTGACCGTCGTCTGCCGGTGACTGATCGCCATGGTGACCCCAATCGCACAGCCACGCGGCTACCACGACTCCCAGATAGTGTAACATGACTCTTATACACTTAAGAACAAGATTTAATTAATCTTACTAATATTATAAATGCGAATGTTTAGATGGATGGATAGATGTTTGTTTGAAGGTATCTCCAGAACAGCTGAAATCTCGCTTAAATTTGACATAATCGTAGATGTAGAACATAGTCTGAAAGAACGCATAGACTACTTATAAAGTTTTTTTTTTAATTTCGCCCTGACGGAAACGCGGGCGATAGGAAAAATTAAAAAAAAATTGGATCGACTTTTGACAGAACGACGTAGTAATTTGAAAGAAACATACAGACTAAAAACATTTATAAATCAGGCAAAAAGCAGAAAGATGTGCAATAGGTGATTCAATAAATTATCTTTTAATGGCGCTACAAAGATAATATTAATGCAATTTAGATTGTAGTTTCATAATAATCGATAGCCTCTTGACCAGAGATGCATAATCGATGCACATGTCCACACAACATGTGACTTATGTAACTACGAGTTTTCATTACCGAAACATGTACAAACACATATCTTTCATTGTATTTGAAAAAAACACAGTGATATCGTACGGGTGTTCCCGAAGTTACCCTAATTACTACAAAATAACTATAGTAATAAACAATGTCATATATATTTAATTTATATACATAAATAAAATGTGTTTCTGTATGTACATCCAAATAAAATATTCATATTTCATGATTTTTTTTTAATTACTTTCTGTGTCCAAGTCCGATTTGACAAGCCTTGAGGGGGCATTTACAGCTTCACCGGGCTTGAGGTGGGCGAGCGCAGATGGCACTTAGCCTAAACCTCGTTTAAGAGTAACTAAGCTCGAGGGCTCCCACAGGAACCTCGGCTCGGGCCGTTACTTCGTTATTATTACCGGATTGGATTTGGTTTAACTGGAACTTTATTTTTTTTATTCCACGCAAACGAAGTTGCGATCAACACCTATTTTATTATTAATGGCATTTATAATATTAGTAAGATTAAAGATAATCGAATCGATAGTCCGTACACAAAACATTAGTCAATTGACTAGTAATATTACTAGGATTTTATCTCTTTACCGTCACCCGCGATTCCGTCCGCACGGAATAGAAAAACTCTTAATAAGTAGCCTATGTGTTCTTCCAGACTATGTTCTACATCTATGCCAAATTTCAGCAGGATCCATACAGCCGTTCTAGATATATCTTCAAACAAACATCTATCGATCCATACATCTAAACTTACGCATTAAAATATTACTAATTTTAGACATACTTAGAATTCTTTGGCGCGCTTTCGTTACAAAGTCAAGTGTCAGAATGATTAGTGAGGGGACATAAACGTCGACATTTGAGTAAGGCTAGTGTCCGATTTTCTTCCTAACAGTAAGTAGTACACATGCAACTATGAGAGTCGTTATATCTTAAGAGTAATTGTTTCCGAGGTTATCTAATACATCGAGGAAAATTCAACGTTCACTGATTACACAAATAATATATATCCGTATGTAATGTTACTTTTATACATTATTAGTGTTACGAAGAAGAACCGGATACTGTGCCGGTGTACTGGCACAACACTAGCTTTACTAAAATGTCAACGTTTATGTCCCCTCACTAATCATTCTGACACTTGACTTTGTAACGAAATCGCACCATTCGCGCCAAAAGATTGTAATTAATAAATGTGTAAAATTAGTTAGAATTCTTTGGCGGGAATCGCGCGTTTTCGTTACCAAATCAACTGTCAGATTGATTAGTGAGGGGACATAAACGTTGACATTTTAATATGGCTAGTGTTGCACCGATACACCGGTAAAAGAGGTTAAAAAATTACATAAAAATCAGTCAAGCTGTTTAAGAGTATGGCTACTAACATTGTGACACGAGAATTTTACATACTGAGTCGGTATATAAAGATAAATAAGTGAGCTCGGGTGACATTGAAAATAACCAGAATGTTTTCTTAGCGCGGGTTCAAGGTCAACGTATGGAATGATAACGCACTTTTGATTATTTGGACTAGACTCTATATCAGTCTGAAGAACATCGCAAAGTTTTTCCAACTTATTTACAAACTTTGAACGTCATATTTATGCGTACAGCCTAAGTGTTAAAAATGACGATGTTTCCATAAAACTTTACATCCCCCTTACAACCCTATTTACGCATTAAAAAGCCTATGTCTTCACAGGGTTAATAATATTTGTTTACCAAATATAATCTAAATCGGTTTAATACTTTTTGCATAAAATGGAGACAGACAATCATATATTTTTTTTAATATCAAAAGATGGCAAACGAGCAATCGGCCACCCGAAATCGCTGAAATAGCAAAGTGACCGTTGCCCATAGACATACGCAATCGCATATGCGTTGCTTACCTTTAATCGACGGAGGAGAGGATGCACAGAAAGAAAATATTTTCCCTTCCCATGCATCCTCTCATCCGGAAAGTCCACTTCCACTTCCCATCCTTTCCTTCTAAGAAAAAGGGTGAGAAGGGAAAGAGGACTAAGTTAGGCCTCCGGGACGCACACTCATCAGACGAAACGCGGAATTGCTTCCACTTGACGCCTGTCTTCTGTGTGGTCGTGGTATTTCACCGGGCGAGCCGGGCCAATTCGTGTGAAGATGTTAAAGCGGGCTCTACCACTGTTGAAATATATAATCGCAAAATAAATAAATTCGCATTTATATTGTTATTAAGGATATTAAAAAATATGTAGTAATTATATAGGATTGCTATTACAGGAAAATCATCTTGGAATTAAATTAATTTTTATGAAAGTTCATCTAATTTGGATATTTATAACATAATATTAGTGAATAATCAATGCTTACTCAGATATTAAATGTATATTATGAATTTAAGTAATAAAAATTTACAAATTAAAAAATACGTTTACACTGCCGAAGCGTTACGCATCATACTATCATCTCTTTCATTCTCTCTGAAAACAACTGAGACAGCAATATTTATGTACGGGCGTTATTAACAATGTCAAACTACGTTAAAGATGGCCGCACGTCTTGTTTCCCGCCAATTTTTGCTGACTTGAGTTTTGTTAATCCACTGACACACTTAACAAGCAATTACAAGAATCGATTCGTTATTTTATTTAAAGACGTAAACAATTTATCGATTCACATAATAAACTATCTATCGCCCGCGACTTCGTTTGGCGGAATAAAAAACATTATAAGTAGCTTATGTGTTCTTCCAGATTATTTTCTACATATATGCTAAATTTCAGCAAAATCTATGCAGTGGTTCTGGAGATACATTCTAACAAACATCCATCTAAACATTCGCATTTATAATATTAGTAAGTTAATAACTTCTTAACGAAATAAGATTGTTCTTTGTACCGTTATTGTGTGAAATCGTATTGAACTTACGCGACATTCATTATCATATTATAAATTAAAGAAAGATATTTTTACGCATCACTGCATTCGTTGCCAAATGTTTGGTTTACTTTATTTTGGAAGTATAACAAGTACAATAACCTTGCAGACTGAACAAAGAGCTTTAACCCTTATTGTGGCAAGATTTCTTTTTTAAAGAAAAGCAAAAAAAAAGTTAAAAATTATTCCGCGTTTCGTCTGATGAGTGTGCGTCCCGGAGGCCTAATTAAGTCGTCTTTCCCTTTCCACCCTTTTTCTTACGAGGAAGGGTTGGGAAGTTGAAGTGGACTTTCCGGATGAGAGGATGCATGGGAAGGGAAAATATTTTCTTTCTGTGCATCCTCTCCTCCGTCGATTAAAGGTAGGCAACGCATATGCATTGCGTATGTCTATGGGCAACGGTCACTTCGCTATTTCAGTGATTTCAGGTGGCCGCTCGCTCGTTTGCCATCTTATGATATTAAAAAAAAATGAATCTTAATAATATTTGCTTCTATACCGTTCTGTTAAAAAGAAAACTATCTATCAGAAAGTCGTTTAATAGTCACTAAGTAAGACCCTTAGTGTATATTTAATACGAGAAATACATAGGATATGTTAACATGATTATGTATTCACAATAAAAAAGCAATTATGTTAATATTTTAATTAATCTTACTAATATTATAAATGCGAATGTTTAGAAGGATGTTTGTTAGAAGTTATCTCCAGAACTGCTGCATAGATCTTGCTGAACACATAGTTTAATTTAAAATCTGCGTGGACGGAGTCGTAGGCGACAGCTAGTATGATAGAGATAAATGAAACTTTGCATCATCTTAATTGTGTAACCTAGCTTTAGCTAGATACTAGTAGTTGCCTGCGACTTTTGCGAGGAATTAAAATAAGCTAGAAATAAATATAACCCTATCAGTCCCTTATTAGCCTGGGATAGTGAAGCTTCCTAAGGGTGATAGAATTTTTAAAATCGATTCAGTAGTTTTGGAGTTTATTCAATACAAACAAACTAATCTTTTTAACTAACTAATTAAACAGTAATAGAATAGAAATATGATGAATATTCAGTCTCAGTTTGTCTGTTTAAATTGCGTTAAAATGTTGCATAAGAAATAAATGTTTAAATAAAAATATTTATAACAATTAGAAATTGTAATATAAAAAATATTTTTGCAAAGTAAAAAATAATTTAATTTACATTCCATTTGAAATAAACGGTTAATATAAATAATAGATAATTGTTGAAAATTATTATTATAAAACAAATATTTAAAAATTACTTTTAAAAAAAATAACCAAATAAAGTCATAAAAGAAAAAAATACTTACTAATAATTTTTTCGTTATTTGACAAAACAAAAAAAAAAAAACTTACAATAAAACATCCCCACGTAAAATCCTATGACAGCAATTGATAATTTTACAACATCATTTGTCGCATCAAAATCGAATCTTTTTAACAAATCACTCATAATGTAAGCTTTCACAGGTCCCGTGTTACACTGATTGTCCACCATTTTATACGAAAACTATAATATTTTTAATTCCAATTTATCCGATAACCTGACGACCGACAGATAGAAAATGCACTCGCAAACCGCATGCGACAGTTTCCTCGTGAACAAACGTATGCAGCCAACGATGGCCGACATAAGAATGATTTATGTCAAACGATTCGTTGCTGACCCTACAAATATTATCTTTTACATATAAACTAGCTATCACCCGCGATTTTGTCTGCGTGGAGTTACAAAAAATTCAGTAGCCTATGTGTAGTGCAGTGTAGTACTACAGATTTAAATGAAATTTGGTACACGAATATTTTAGAGCCTGAGAAAGGACATAGTCTACTTTTAATCGCGAAAAGGGGGTTGGAAATTTGTATGGAAGTATCGTCATACACTTATAAGCATGAAACTTATTTTAAGACTTAATTCGTTGCAAATAAATATGACAATCAAATTTTATTAAAGTTTAACCCCCAAGGGTGCAAAATAACAATTTTATTATGTTTTGTTATAACTTTAAGTTAAATAATTACCCTAAGTCATTAAATATGCTACCTTAACGTATTTCACGCGAACGAAGTCGCGGGCACATCTAGTATTTTATTCTTTCCTTGGAATCTCATTGTAACATCTATTATCTTATTTAATATTCTCTTTATATTTTACTTATGAGGTCAATGACTTTCAACAAATTCTGTCAGTGTGTACGACCTTGACAGAGAAATAACGAGGCTTAGGACGCTTCCACAGTACGATAGGAACAGTTCAATAGCTGTGTTAGGGTTCCAGAATATATTCTATTATTAACTATCTGTCGCCCGCGACTCCGTCCGCGTGGATATATAAAAAAATCATTAGTGTAGCCTATATGTTCTTTCAAACTATGTTTTATACTTATGCCAAATTTAATCGAGATCCGTTCAGCCGTTCTAGAGATATCTTCTAACACCCACCCATCCATCCACATCACACCCATCTAAACATTGGCATTTATATTATAATATTAGTAAGTTAAATAAAATGCAGCTCTTCAAGGCATAAATTCGAAAAAAAAATAGTATCCTATATCCGTCTCCTGGCTCTAAGCTACCTCCTCACCAATTTTCTGGCATATCGGTAAAGCCGTTCTTGAGTTATAAATAGTGTAACTAACACGACTTTCTTTTATATATATAAAGATGCGAATGTTTAGATGGATGTTTGTTTGAAGGTATCTTCAGAACGGCTGCATGGATGTTACTGAAATTTAGCATACATGTAGAACATAGTCTGGAAGAACACAGGTTACTAATTAAGTTTTTTTCTTAAATACCGCACAGACGGTGTCGCAGGCAACATCTAGTAAACCTATAACATACAAGATATACTCAGAAAAAGGATATATATTTCAATATAAATAATTTCAGTATGAACACAGTATAACGAAGTTTGAATTGATAAATCGT